AGCTGCTGGAAATTCAATTTCCTCGAGGGAGTTATCCCAAAGGGATCAATAAAGTGAAGTCTAAGTCTAACAGCAGGGGGCGCACTAGCAGCCCACAATAAACTAGAGATTATAAAAAAAAACAAGAAGAAGATGGTGATGCATGCTGGGAAATGAAGTTTACAAGAAATAACATTAAAACACGGTATTTTATAATTTATTAAGGGGTACTGGTTGACGTGAAACTTAGCTACCAACTTAGAGTTGATATTCTTTACATAATTTAAAGCCCTCATACTTTAATTGCCGTTTTATTTTAAATAAATGTTCTTCTCGAACCTTCTGCTTAACGCCGGTTTACCCAGAGTGCACCGCGACGCTTTCCTTTCTTCGTGGTTGTGTTCTGGTCCAAAATGTCGCTGCTGGAGGGTCCGTTAAATGTGCTCGGCCACAGAACAACTGGCGAGTCTGTTCGCAGTCAAAATGGTGAGTCGTGGCTCTGCTCTGCCCGCTGTTTCATATGCACTTCATGTATTTAATCTGCGTCGCGAACATTTGACAGGAGGAGCTATTTTAATTCACTGCTGTTGAAACACACGTGTGGCTAATGCTAACGCGAGCTAACTTTTTTATGGTAACTTTAAAGCCTCTGCTCGCTCTCCTTGGAGATTCTTACAAATGTCTTGTGTGGTTTTTACAAAAGTGTGCACTGTACGCCAACGGCATTTCATTAGGAAGTCGTAGTCCCGTTTCAGTACCTTCCACTCGCATCCCCATGAATGGACGGCTATGCTAACGGGGCAGAAAAGCACTGTCACGGTCTGAGGGTGTGGCTAACAAACTGTGTACCTCACTAAATAAGATGACAGGACATGTCGGTGTTTTAAGCAAAGTTAAGGATCTACTAGCCGTTTTAAATAAAGTGTTGTTTTAGTGCTTTTTTTTTTTTTTAATCTAGTTTCCTCCTTGTCGTTGCAGTCTTGGCCGCATCATCCATCGCCAACATCGTCAAGAGCTCCCTCGGACCCGTCGGCCTCGACAAGATGCTGGTGGACGACATCGGGGTACGCGTCACATTCAACGTTATCTGTCCCTTTTTTTTTTTTATCTGTTTATACAAGAGCAAAACGTTGTGTTCTTGAGTTGCTCATGTGTCTCATGGGCGTATTGACAGGACGTGACCATCACCAACGACGGAGCAACCATCCTGAAGCTGCTGGAAGTGGAGCACCCAGCTGCCAAGGTCCTGTGTGAACTGGCTGACCTGCAGGACAAGGAAGTCGGAGATGGGACCACGTCTGTGGTGAGTAGGGTCAACAGCTGCTCCTGCGTGGTGTCCCAGTGCCTACTTGCTCGTTTATCCTCTGGCACGGAGAATGGACTGTGCTTGTTGGTGGTAATTTGCAGCCGTACACACGTAATGAGGTAAAAGTGAGTGTCCTGTTATAGTACCAAACATCTGCCTTTTCTTTCGGATGTGTGGCTATGCTAACAGGAGAGAGAAACTGTCCGTCCGTGTCTGAAGGGGTCGAGCAGCCTCACTTCTGCCACCCCTAATGAAACGATGGCACACTATGATGTTTAATTGTTGTAATGCGAGGAGTTATTATTATTTCTGGAGGTGGCAACATGCTCGAAAGCTCACGAAACTCTGCACAAATGTCAGCCGTGGCATAATGACCATGGCATGAACTGAACCACCCGGGGCCCCTTGAGCCAATATGCATCAAAATCGGTAAACGCGTCGATCTTATCAAAAAGTCGTCCACTTTGAATCGAATGTCAAACTGTGACGCAATTTCAGGGGTTCTATTTCAGAAACTTCTTCGTAGTGAATTATCAGAAACGACTCAAACTGCGTGAGTACAATCCAGAGGTGTTCAGGATGTTACGGTATTAAAGTCTTTACATTCGGTCAAACGGTGTGTCCGTGGCGTGCCGTCAAAAATCAGCCATGACATGGCGATAGGTTTAGCAGTAGGGTTAGGGTTTCTAACTGCAGTACAGGTTCTCCATTTGGACCCAAACTTTAAGAGCCCTGGCCTAAACACATCTAAGAGCCAATATATATAAATATAATAGTGCCAACTACTGGAAACAGGAAGTAAGCCTTTCGTGGTGATTGCGATGTTGTTTTTCTTTTGTCTTTTTTTTTTTTTTAGAGTCATCTTTATTGCAAAAAAGGTGGTTACAATTCAGATGTGACTTACAAAGATATATATATATATATAT